AATCTTCAGAATGGCTGAAACAATTGTGATAAAACTTCACAAAAAGATAGAGAGCTATGCCAGGAGTGATATAGGCTATATTTTTTTTATATACAATAAGAGTGACATCGATCGTTTTTTGTGAAATCGATAAAATAATAGAACCTAAATCACGCCACAGTAACAGATAAACAAATATTAATTTTAAAAAAACCGCAGATTTTTATTACATTAAGTTATCAGGAAGATGTCGCTGACTATCTCTTCTTTCAGTTTCCCTCTGTTGTCTTTTACGATACCCACGGGTGCTAATGTCATAGTGTGTGTATTCGTACAGTGCCTGAAATGTTATTGATAATATTATGTTAAAATACGAACCGGATTAATTACATTCCTTAATTTTACTACGTCATAAATAGCATGAATTTATCAACTTTTTGTAGGTACAACAATAAGGTATTTTACAGCGAGGTTCGTACATAAAATTCGAAAATACCTAAATTAACACTTTAATTTACTTTACACAAATTAAAACTTAAAACACTAATAATTAAACACACTAATTCACTTTATCCGCCCCGCAACCCCCCCTCCCCCAAACAAACAGCCCAAAGCCCCCTCGCTCTCGTTCCTACACTATGGCCATTACACCAACAATTTTACACTTACTTACTAACTTATCTTCACGCACAATCCCTAACGGGGTAGCCAGAGAGAACAGATCGCCAAGTGTCACGACCCTTACATACCTCTTTCGCTTCTCTCAGGTTCATTATGTTCTTCATACATACACGTCTAGGTATCCGAGTACTCTTGACCTTCCCTCATACAATAAAAAAATATCAAAAAATCTATATTTATGATAGGTATGGTAAAAAGTAAACGAGAAATATTGATTTCTATTTGTAAAAAGGCATTATAAATTTTATAATTAAATTTTAAGATTTTTTTATCTGTGCCTCAAATCTCCAAACACTATACGCCATAGTAGATTTAGTCGTGACGTTACTGGTTAAGAAAACTAAAGTGTGGCCAACTAGCAACGATACGAAAGGTCGTTTACCTTAAAAACGACTGTGGAGTTGACAATCTATTATCTATCTCTTTCCATGTTGTGTATTTGTCGTAATGTCTCGTTTTCCCAGCAAAAACATGTCAGGGTCAAGACGGGTTCGCCAACATTCGGGAGGCCATTTTAGTAATAATAGTGATTCATTTCAGGCTAACATTCAACAGTGGCTACATGACAAAAATATTAGTTTCGATGACAAGGAAATAAAAACACAATTATTAAATGAAGTAAAGACCAAAATCAATTATACGTCCAGGTATTAAAACTTCCCCCTTATTATTGTGAATTAAACCCCATTGGGTTGATTCGGGCTGATGTAAAGGGGCACGTAGCTAGAAACAATACTACATTTAAATTTGAAAAAGTTAAGGCATTATTAAGTGACGGTATGACGAAAGTTACGCCTGTTCGGTGGAAGAAATGTGTGGAGCACATTCAAAAAGAAGAAGATAAGTTTTTCAAATTTGATTTTATTGTAGATGACGTGACGGATTAATTTATTATACGTGTTACAGACTCTGATTCTGACTCTACATGCTCAGAAGAATAGGCATCTGACTGAATAAACAATAATTTCTTCAAAAAAAAAAATATTCTTATCCTCATTTCCATAAACATAACATAACATATCATCAGTCCTGTAGGGAGAGCTATTAACACCCACATTTTGCCTGACATATTTAAGTCCCTATGTAACAGGGGGCCTGTTACCATACACCGCGCACACAGTTGTTAGGCAAGCGATATTTAGAAACATTATTATTATTCTCGTTATTTAATTTAAATCTACAATATACAATTATTCAAATTATAACAAATTTATAAAAAGTCTATTTTTTTAGTTTGCTAGACATTTTTTAAAACTATATTGTCTACTTAAATATATAGGGTGTTAGTGTAAACACCGTTCTTCTTAAAACCAGTGGTTTGGTTTCCCTTATAGAACGCAAATTCAATGAAAAATAACAACGTTTTTTTTGAAGTAAAATCTCAATTTTTCCATAATTTCTCAATTTTTGCCTGTCCTAAGCCAGGATGAAGGTATGAAGGAAAAGTTACATTATAGGTTATGTGTACCTATTGTGTTTTTATTGGAATGTTGTGTAGGTAGCCAGCGCGGGGGTAATCTTTACATTGATTTGTTAAAATAGACATGTAACAATAATGTATCTTCCACGTCGTTTGTGGTGAGAAATAAATAAATTATTATTATTATGTGGGGTATCTATATAGTTTTCTCATCTGGTTGGGATGTATAAATATATAATTATAAATGAAAATGAAAAGATAAATATACATAAATATCAATTATATACATAATTATTATTATTATTATTATTATTGTGGGGTATCTATACAGTTTTCTCATCTGGTTGGGTTCTATAAATATATAATTATAAATGAAAATGAAAAGATAAATATACATAAATATCAATAACATAAAATAAATATAAAAATACATAAATAAATAAAAGCCCAACCAGATGGAGGCCCTCGGCAGGGGAGACCAAACGGCCGAGGGTTAGGGGGAAAAGGAAAGAAACCGGCGGACGATGCGGGCGGTATCGAGGAGCACCGCCTTCTGCATTTGAGCCCGGAGCGGTCCGCCACGTAGTCCCAGTCGCCGCAGATGACCCGAGAGGCTGACTGGGATTAGCCCGTTTGCAGAGACGACTACAGGAATAATTTCGGTCGGCAGACCACCCCACATGTCAGTCACCTCGTGAGCCAGGTCCAGATATTTTGTTTGCTTGTCTGTTTCGGCTTTCACGAGGTTCTCGTCATACGGAATGGTAATGTCGACCAAAAATATCCTTGACTGTGCCCGGTCCATCAGCACAATATCAGGCTTATTCGCAAGAATAGTCCTGTCTGTGATGATGGCCCGGTCCCAATAGAGCCTGGCGCGATCATTTTCGAGCACGGCTTCCGGCAAGTACTTGTAATACGGCAATTTCCGATCCACGAGACCGTATTTCAGAGCGAGCTCCTGGTGAAGAATTCTGGCTACTAGGTTGTGCCTGTGCAAGTACTCAGAGTTAGAAAGCGCCGAACAACCGGAGATGACATGCCTAAGTGACTCACCGGGATGGCGACAAGCTCGACAGATGTCCACGGTGCCATCCTTTAGGATGTATCTCCGATAGTTGTTGGTCTTAATAACCTGATCCTGTATTGCACAGACAAAACCCTCGGTTTCCCCGAATAGATCACCAAAGCGTAGCCAGTGGAGGGAGGCTACTGTGTCTACGAAAGGCTCATGTAGAGCCTTGTAGAACCTCCCGTAGAGCTCCTTCTCCTTCCATACGTTCTCCCGGTCGGAAATTGTCTGCACTGCCGGGTCTTGCCATTGCTCCTTGGCTAAGGATAGAGGGGTAAGTCCTTTATCACTAGAAATGACGTCCTTATAGAATGGATCATCCGATCTCGCCAGGAAGTAATTACGGAGGCTGCAAACTTCGCGATTATGCATGGTGAGCGCGCTCAAGAAGCCATGCCCACCATGCTTTCGCGGCAAGTACAGCCTCATTACCGACGATCTCGGATGATGCATCCAGTGGGACGTCATGGTAGTGCGGACTTTTCTATCCAGGGCGTTAAGTTCAGTCTGAGTCCACCTGAGTATGCCAAAGGTATACATGAGGACAGGCATGACCCAGCCGTTATATGCGTGTGTCTTATTCACACCGGACAAAAGGCTGTTAAGCACTTTGGTCAAGCGTGCATAAAACACGTCGCAAACTGACTGTTTCATACCAGCCTCATCGATACCGATGTTCTGTGACATACCCAGGTATCGGTATGTTTCAGCATCGGAAAGGGTCCTTAAGTTGACGGGCATAGATAAGTCTATGCCCTCAGAGTTAGCAACCCTCCCCCTTTCAACATGGAGGACCGCACACTTATCCGTTCCCAGCTCCATTCCAATAGAATTGCTAAATTCACAAGTGATGTTTAGCAATTCCATAAGATGGGAGCGACTGGACGCGAATAACTTGAGGTCATCCATATAGAAAAGGTGGGTCACTTTTGTACCTCCTTTCCGAAGCTGAAATCCCCTCCCGGAGCCCTCCAGTAAAGTACTGAGAGGGTTCAGGGAGAGGCAAAACCAGATTGGACTCAGACAATCGCCCTGGAAGATACCCCTTCTTATCCTTATGTGGTTCTCCGCAGCCATCATCCGCTCGCCCAGATAGCAAAGGATCGTACTCCATTGCCCCATACACTGCTCGAGGAAGTCTCCAACTGTACAGTCAATTTTGTACAGCTGGAGGACTCTCTTTAGCCATGTATGGGGCACCGAGTCGAATGCCTTTCTGTAGTCTATCCAGGCGGCGGAGAAATTCCAACGGTTGCGTTTCACCACTTTGCCAATGACCGCGTCAATGAGGAGTGGTTCCTTGGTTCCACGACCACCGCCCCGGCATCCATTTTGAGCGCGTGACATCACCTGATTTAGCTCCAGGTGACGAGTGATTCTCGCGCTCAAAATGGATGTCAGTGTCTTATATATGGTGGGTAGACACGTGATGGGGCGGTATTTGCTCGGGTCTGTGGTATCCTGATCTTTAGGAACCAAATGAGTGATCCCAGTAGTGAAGAGGCTCGGGAGCGACTTCTGATCGAGAGCCTCTTGAAACTGTCGGGCGAGCACAGCGTGACACACTACGAACCCCTTCAGCCAGTAATGATGCAGCCCGTCGAGCCCCGGACTTTTCCAGTTCGGGGCCCTACGGACCGCCTCAGCCACGTCTTCAGGCGTTATGGTGACGGGGTCCATAGGCGTAACACTTGCACTCTGGCTCGCCACAACTTCCATCCAAGGGCCCTCGCTGTGGTTTACGGGCTCTGACCACAGGCCACGCCAAAATGCGACAGTGTCAGCCTGATCCGGTCCTGGGCCCGCTCCACATACCTCTGGTCGCTCCAATGTTTTATAGAGCCTCTTCTAATCACTCTGGAAGAGACGATTCTGGTTGAACCGCCTTGACCTCTCGCTAAATCGTCGAATCCGCTTCCCCCAAGCAGCGATTTTTTGCTTCAGGTCATCTATGCGCTCCGTTAGTTTTTGCGTGATATCCGGCTGGAACAAATTGATATTTATCCCAGCAAACGCCATCCTAACGGTGCGCATAATCCTCGGTCTATTATTACCCGACCTGAAGCTTGTCAGTCTGCCGATAAGGGCCCTTGCCTCTGCGATACGGTCCTCAATTCTTTTTCTCCAGGCTGGGATGGCGCTACTTTTTTGAGTAGCACGTCCAGCCACGGGAAGTTTGGCGCCAATAATACGGCATACTGCCAGTGCGGCGCCAAAAAGAATTGAATCCGTCTCGCAAAGGTCCCGGCTGGCTTCCAAATAGGTCACCAGCATTGGGTTAAGAGCCCGCACGACAGCCCGATTTCGCTTGCTAAGGGGTATGCGGGGAAGTCGCGGTCGATTTTCGAGAGGTATGCTGCGCGTTTCCAGAATCGACTCTTCCAATATGCTCCTCATTTTCTCTAGTTCGTGGGAGACTATTCTATCATCGTCTGAATTAGCCACAAATGGAATGTTGACGGCAGCATCCACATATGCAGTTTGTTGCGCATCTAGTGGCGCCGCATTCCCAGCCGTAGCATTTCCATTCGATGAAGGAATAGCCTCACGTCGTAGTCGCTCGAGTTCGGCGTCACCAAATATGTTGGAGCGCAGGATGTACCTAACTCGGTCTGCCAGGTTTTGCTCAGTGACGGATAGAGATGGCTCCAGCTCTGCAAAAAAGCGATGCATCCGAGCCCGATACGCCAAACATCCAGTTTCTTCCCCTTTTTGCCCTAAAATACGCCCGCAGTGCGTTTTCATTCATTGATTTAGACCAACGCATGCGACGTGCTCCACCAGCGGCGGGTGCCGTTTGCTGAGTCCGAGAAGACCCAGCCGACACCAAGCCTTCTGGTGGGGATGATGGATGCGGGGGGCTGCTAGGTGGTCTTGCAACACCCCGCGCTCGGCTGGCGGCCCGCATGCTGTCGCGTCCAGCGCCAGCTCCAGACGCGCCCTGGCGACCTCCAGGCAGCGGCCCTTTGCGCACTATCTTTTTCTCCATCATCCATAATATGGGCGTCCATTAACGGGAGACGCCCAGGCCCGGCACCGTATCGTGGACGGCCATAGGCACAAACGGGCCTTTGCACCCTGAATTCTGCCGAGGCACGGCGCTCACACCTCTCGCAAGGCGCTGACTGACTCCGTTGACGTAGCAGTTTTGTCACTTAACTGTTACGTCAGCGGGCGATGGGGTCGTCAATTCCCTACGCCATAATATATATATATATATATATATTATACATATACGCCATAATATATATTATTATTATTATTATTATTATTATTATTATTATTATTGATTACTCAGGCGCATAGGGTATCCATGAATTTACAGAATGTGTCGGACAGAAATTTTTTAAATTTTATGAATGAAAATAGCGTTTTTTTTAAATTCGGATAAATATTTTTATATTAAACCCAACTTACCTATGGTTTTAGTGACAACGGTGTTTACACTTACACCTTGTATAATCTAACTATCAAAAAGTTACGCACCCCCGCTATTCATAATAACCTTGCATTGGTTTTATTTACATTTGGTATTGCTTCTTGTTGGCCGTACTTTAGTTCGAATTTATTATACTTTATTTCGAATTTTATTGAAAATGTATCATGGAAGACGAATTCGTAATGGCAGAAAGTACTAATCAACCAAGGATAAACACGTTGATGGTGGCAATTTTTATTGCATACAATCCCGATTTTTGGTCTGCTGAGTGTTAAACATCAATGTAACATGTTTGTCATCAATGTTAATGTTAAAACATCAATGTAAGTTCCTATTACCAACTTTTGTTTATACAATAACACAATACCAGGTCAGTGTACTTTGATAATCATAGTTATGTTTATCTTTTATTACCATCATTAGCAATCATTAGTTATAATATCTAAGATAACTTATTCTATTACAATATTTATATAAATAATAGTTAAGTATAAGTCATACTTACATCAAAATGATCTTCACAGAAGTATAGCCTAGTTTTTGTATATATAATGTATTCGGGTATATTCTTGCGAGTTTTAACCAAGTATTTCTCATATTTAAATCAGTTGGCACTTGAATCCATAACTTACCCGGAGTTCTTATGCTCGTATTTTTGTATTCAGGCACAACACACCAGCGATAAAGATGATATGTAACTTATTATTAAACATCCAAAAATATCTTATTCCTTTGAAAAATCGGCAAAATCCTAGGACAGTGACGTCACGAGCTTTACAGCTTAGCGGCTAGCGTTTTCGCACATTTTAAAACGATAAATTAAAAGTAATTAGCACTATTCGGTTTTAAGCAAATTATATAAAAATTATGGTGGTTCATTATAACTCTAGGATTGATTTTAAACACTATTTGAAAATTGGTGTAAAACCCTATTGTGGTCTCTCTAGAACCAAACAAGTGGTAAAATTAAATATTTTGTGCAACCAACTATAATATAAAAAAATAATTTATTGTTAATTTTTAATAACCGCTCGACCAATTTCGATAAAATTTTAATTGGACTACTTGGAAATTACACCGCTTGAAAAAAAGAAAAGAATTTTCCAAGTTAGCTCAAGCGCCTTCGAGTAATCGTTGAACATACATAAAAAAAGATTCCGACGGATTGATAACATCTTCCTTTTTTCAAGTCGATTGAAAAAGGTAATAACCTTATGAGTGAAAGAAATTAACAATAATGCTACTACCTAATTTATTTTATATCAAGTAAAATATTATGTAATGCATAAAGTACATCTTCCACTACAAGAATTTTATCCTTATTTTAAAATTCTCTGTGCTTATTCTTACTCTGAGGGACGAAAAGTTTTAGAACAATAACTAAAGCACGAAAAGTTCTTGATGAAGGCAAGATGGAGGATCTTAAAGTAATCATTGCAATAATGGGGTCGCGTTTTATGATTACCAGTTACCTATGGAGTGTAGATGTAAGGAGTACCAACTCCCATAGTAGAATAGTTGAAAAAGTAGCCATTTGTTAGCAGTAAATAACAGTTCAAAAACTCTCCACAACAGCGCAGGAATAGCTACTGGGATGAAATGAACTTAGCAGTTGTCGACGGTTTGAAGTGTGCTGATAAACTGCTCAGTAGCTCTGAAATCTAAAATAATTTTATTTAGTAAATATAACCTCGAAAAAGTCGTCTATCCCTCTAATATTTTTCGGCACGTTCTTTAAAATTTAGCCCGTAGCTATAGTGGTGCCACCCTTAGACGGTTTTCTATAGACACTTTTTAATACACAGTCTGTACTCCTTACTTCTACACTCCATACAGTTACCACTTACTTTACTTTTTGGTTATTACATATATGTAATACGATTTCTGAACGGAACGCAATTTCCGAATACGTCAAATTTGATCTGTTGGCATTTTGGCATTACCTTCGAAGAAATAAAGAAAATATCTTAATTTTAGGGAAAATTATTGTATTAAAACAAAAAGGTATATTTGATTTATGTCGTTTTTTAAGCTTGTATGATATATTTTAGTATAAAATGGGTAAAATTATTATTATAGTAAACGATTTGAGGCATTTCATATATTTTATTTTTACGGTAACTAAGTATTGAAATATTTTTAGTTGATTAGTATGATTTATTGACATATAAATAACTGATATTTAAATAAAATTAGTAAATTTCATGTCATTCATATACATTTCACGTTAATTGTTGAAATGAGGCACTTAATTTAAAGCAATATTGTTATTGTTTTATTTTGTGGGTGAGGTGACTATATCGTGGCTGGTAACACTGCTTGTTACATTTCGTCAGTAGCGGTGGGTAGTAGCGGCTTTTTTGAGTAACGAAACGTAACTATCTATTGAATATCAATAGCGGCTTTTGAAACACTCTATTTTAATAGAGGGTTTTGAAACACTCTATTTTAATAGCGGCTTCAATAGTGTTTCACGACGTGTATAATTGAAAAACGTTGCGAATGAAACGATGTCCGTTTCACGAGAAAACTTGTTTGTTACCGTTTCGTATAGAATTAGACATGGTGTTAATGATTAAATTTATTCATTTTTTTAATCATTTCGCACGTTTTGATAAAAATATCACTTGAAAAGATTTAACGGCAAACGATTTATTTAATAATTATGATTATGATAAATTCACCCACAAGTTCAGCATAAAATATTGAATATATGTTTGATTTTACAGCCAATAATTATTACAATGCTTATTTTTAGACATCTCAAGCCTACATTTTTATGTAGTAAATCAAATGAATACATGTATTGATGTTTTATAAAAACATCAATACATGTATTCATTTGATTTATAATGAATGAATATTGGCCTTCATGGTTGTAGTATCTTTTGTAAAAAAGTCCCAAAGTACACTGGCATTACTTCGAGATATTTTTGATAACTATCACATAAAGTTTTAGTATTATTTTTACACAAGGTTACTTACACTAATTACTGTACAATTTTTATTATTAACACTAGTATATACCTACAATTGTATTTAGTTCTTATTTTAATAAAAATATTATTATTATTTCACAAAAAAGAAAACAAAAATATTAAAAAACGCGCCTAAAAAGTAAAAACAAACCGTGTCAATAAACTTAAACACAAGACTACTTTAAACCGGGCCAAGGTCACTTAAATAATGGAATTTGAACTATCTTTTGTTAAAAACATGCCTGCACACTTTCTTTCTCATTTCTAATATCGCATCTATACGAAGGGAATAGAGTTAAAGGTCAAATGCAAAAGCACCCGCGCTCACTCGACATTCGACGACCGGTGGTACTTCTACCACAGCGTAAAGATTCGGTTTCTTTACTCATGTGCTTCTACTTCAACGGCCGAAGCCGTCACCAATGCGTCGCGAAAATAGCCGAATAAACGTTTTGTTATTGTTAGTGATCGTTCGTTCGTGATTCGTGAAACGTGAATCGTGTTACTGAGTTAAAAAACTACTGTAATAGATAGTTTCGTTGCACTGCAATAACCCGCTACCCGCTATTGTGTGAATAGATAGTTTCAGTAACTAGTTACGTTTTGTAACGACCACTCCTATTCGTCAGCCTCTGTTCGATTTTACTGGGCAGATCTGTCTAGTTTTACGATGGATTGATTGAAATTAATATTTATGTAAAGGGTTGTATGAATGAATTGTTTTGTGTTTGTGAAACGTCTTAGTGATTATTTTTTTATTTATTACTAAGAGAAATTAAGTTAAAATATGGCTTCTCGCGGTGGTTTTATGGTGACAGGTACGAATGGAGCTGATTACGAGCATCGGGAAAAAATAGCGATTCAGTATCAATTAAGGTAAGCCTATTGATTATTTCTACGTACATTGATCTGATATAGAAATACACAGTGCTATGGTGATGTGACAACGGCATTACATTCAGAGTTCCGTCAAATTATTTTTAGACATAAGCAAAATGTACACATTTGATGAGACATTTCGCGCCACAAATTTAAATAATGGGCTGATGGGCTAAATATTGCTATTAGGTACAAAATGTTTTTCAAAAATTCCATATCATATATTAAAAATTGAACTTGAGGTACAGATTATTGCTTTCAAACTAAAAGCCAGCTTTATATTAAAAATGAAGATTTGTTTTTTAATAATGTTATTTAATACAAACACTAGAATTTTCTCCAGTTTCACAGAGGCAGTTCATACATAAATTTCACAA